TATGTATATATATATAAGTATATATATATATAATATATCATATACATACATATATATATATATATATATATATATATATATATATATATATATATATATATATATATATATATATATATATTATATGTATATATATATATTATATATATATATATATATATATATATATATATATATATATATATTATATATATATATATATATATATATATAATATATATATATATATATATATATATATATATATATATATATATATATATATATATATATATATATATATATATATATATGTATATATATATATATATATATATATATATATATATATATATATATATATATATATATATATATATATATATATATATATATATATATAATATATATATATATATATATATATATGTATATATATAATATATATATATATATATATATAATATATATATGTATATATATATATATATATATATATATATATATATATATATATATATATGTATATATATATATATATATATATATATATATATATATATATATATATATATATATATATATTATATACAGTCGCAGAATTATATTTCAGTAGACATGCTGGGTCCAACTTTTGTACATCTGGTAACCAAATGAAGTAAACATAGCGTAAATAGTATTTTTATGACTGAGGCTAAAAACTCTAGGTGATTAGTAAGAAAGAGGCGAATGTAAATAACCAATAAGTGTATTAATGAATATTTTTAAAAATTAAATAAGCCATTTCATCTTTTATTTTCTTCAAATAAGTGATAACAAAATGTGTATTATTAGTTATCGTTGACTTTGTAATGGTATATTCTTCAGAGACAATATCCTGGAATTGCTTGTTTACTGAAATAGCTACACCTATGGTGGGGAGGTTGCATTTCCCACTTCTTTCAATGCACGTATCAATTACTTTAGCAACATATTTTTTTAAACGCATAAATGCTTCTTGCTTTAAATTCCCATGTATGATAGCTTAAAAAAAAAAAAAAAAGGCAAATGACCTTTGTAAATACTTCTCGTAGCTGCACTAGTAGCAGCTAATTGAACTATCAAAGTGATTTTGTTTTTTTGTTTTTTTTTGCCAGAACCAAACACTTACTCAATAAACAATGGTTGAAACAAATAAATGTGCTAGACATTTAAGGTCATATAGCACTATGGTAAAGTATTTTTGTGAGAGGGGTAAATGAGTTAAAATTTAGTATAAGGAGTGTTAAATGTCAAAGGTTATAGTGTTACAGGATAGTATGAGAGGGGAAAGGGTAAAGAAGGGGTGCATATGATGTAAATCGGACATTAATAAAGGAAAGGGGTGATTACCAAGTCAATCAGAATTATCATTCTCAATAGGAACACTATTATGTAACGGTATTTCTCATTTTTTGGTTGTTTTTGGCTACAAAAGTAGATATTTCTGTCTGAAAAGTTTAACAATTTCAAAGAATATCAAAAGCACATACATTTACTACATGGAACTTGAGATTTACCGAAGTAGTTGAATTTTTCCCATGCTCCATACAGGGGGGGGGGGGAAATGGTCACTGGGTGTTTATAATTTTTGAGAAGGATCATATGTATGTAAACACATGAACATATGTTAAAAAATGTAATCCTCCCCATTTAGAAAGCCTACATCAACTTTTATATGTAAAGGAATAAAATATATTAGTTATCCCTATAAAACTGTTTTCTTTGGTAATTATCAATAGTAGCAATTTGCAATAAGAAACAGGTGAAGAGTTGATGATTTGTCATTTGCACCCATTCTCTTTGCTAAGATACCAGATATTTGCATATTTATGGTATAGTAACATCTAAGAGTAATATTTTATATTGGAAAGGCACAAAAAGATACCAATAGCTGTTTCAACAGTAGATGAGAACTGCTCATACAAACGAGCTTAAAATTCCATAAAGTTCTTATTTCAGGTATTACTGTGTACTATCACCTTCAACATGAAATAACCGGTAGCTCACTTATATCTCATAAGTTCAAGAATCCATTTTTTGGTTGCTTTTTGTATTGAAATGCTCTTTACAGCAGAAATTACCAATATCAAATTTACCAATTCTATACAGTACGGACTGCTAAACACAGTCTAATGGAAATATTTTAACTATAATTTATATGGCTATTTTCAAACATTAGTGCTTCAAACTCGTTATACATACAGATCCCTTCATAAGCTACAGCATATTACCAAGGAGTCCCAATGGAAGCATATTTTGTGAGTAAAAGTACACAAAACTTAATTTTTTTTTTATATATTTTACAAAATATTTCATCAAGAATCACTGATACAATTTTTTTCTTATATTGGTATAAAAGTGTTCATTGAATATTCATGAACTCATATCTATGCACAATGTAATAATCAAATGTCGAATGCACAACTGCAACAAGAAAAAGTCGACACAGGTGTACCCGGGCACACAATAGCGGCATACCTCCCCGCATGTTTAGCGGGTCTCACTTACACCGCCAAGAACAAACCAGAGGTGGCCTTTAATAGTTGTTTGGTAGTTTCCTGCTTCAAGTACCTATACAATACACTAGCTAACTCAACTTGACACAAAAATTTTCAAACCCTGGGATGGTTCCCTTAAGGGAATGGGGCAAATGGATGGCATGGGGTATATTTGTTGTTGGGATAGCTATAGTAACATTGCTTTAAGGAAAAATGGTAAAAGAGCTGTTATGATGTAATCAACATGTATTACCAGGAGAGATGGCTGTTGAAGAAGTAGCAGGAGAAGAGTCTAGTGGATGAGATAAAGGGACTGGGAAAGGAGGTGAAGTATCAGGAAGAGCGTGAGGAGGGGAGGAATCCGGAGAACATTGTTGCAACAGAAGGGATTTGTTGTGTGCTGTGCAGTGGTGAACGTGCTGGTCTTGCAATCTTGCTGACTTACATTCGATCCTGCGGGTTACCAGTGAATGGTAACCCCGGCCATTCCTTGCACAATGGGGGAGATTTAGAAGGCAAAATAAAACAGACAGTATGTTACAGCAATGAATATCCATTGTAACAAATGAAATTGAAACTTTCAAAATTTCAAAATTTCAAATTAGGCAAGTATCCAGGTGGGAGAGGTAAGGAACATGGAGAACAAAAAAGGAATGGTGTACATGGAGGAGAGGATGGGGTTTGTTAGGAAAGAGTCGGAGAAAGAGGGGTAGGGGGAACTTGTAGGGAGTGGAACATTTTCTTGGGTCATGGCTAGGAATTTTTTGATGTCTTCAAGAGTTTCTGGAGGAGATTTGGGTAGGAAGGTCTGAGAAGTAAAGGATCTCTTGTGAGAGGAGACAAAGAGATAGATGTTCAAGGAGCAGTGGAAAAGGAGGGTGTGGAAGGTGAAGATGGAGTAGAACAGATGCTACCTTATATTCTAGCATATAGAAAGGGCAGCTCCTATAAAATACATTACAGGAGTCACCACAGCTGGCACATGTACATGACTGAGCAGGGCAATTTGAACGGTCATGACCAGGTTGGGCACATAGAGGGCAGTGGGCTGTGGAGCTGGGTAGCTAAAACACCAACATTTCTGACATTGACGAGGAAGGGGTTGATATGGTCGGACATGGTAGGATCAATATAAACTTTATGGGGGCAGGTCATGTCTATGGAAGCTAATCTTGGCAATATTGACATGGGACTTATGCTGGCCTCTGGAAGGAATAGTGTAGCACCGTACTGCTACTGCATCATAATCAGCAAGGAAGGTAAGTAGGTCATTTTCACAATCTAATCAGTTCTTGTCATATTAGGGACAGATGTAACTGTGACAAGGCGTGAACGATTGGAGTGTCTGCAAAAGGTAACTCTGCCTACTTGTTTTTAGAGGCACTGTTGAAATAGAAGGGTATTCTCAGAGTAGGGGGTTGTGGGGGGAATCACAAAGAATCAATCCCACTTGGCTGGGCCAAATAGAGTACTCTGAAGGTTTGCAGAGGTAGAAGAAGTAGAAGGACGAGGGTGAGAGGAAGATGGGGTGGTGTGGAGTCGAGTAGTTCTGTGGGGGGGGGGGGCAATAAGGATGAAGAGTAGTAATAAGGGAAGAGGGGGTAGACTGTGTAGTAGGAGATGGAGAGGAGAATGTTAGAAGAGATGAAGAGGTGCTTTCTGGAGGTTAAGTAATAACCTGAGTGGGTGGTTCAGAATGGACAGAGTTGTCAGTAAACACTGAGGAGGGGGTATTAGTATCAGTGGTCAGAGCCGTGGTCAAAGGAGGGGCAGAGGGGCAGGGGTTGCATAACCATCAAAATCAAATTTAGATAGGCTTGTTGACGAACGGGCAAGCCTTAATGCCCCTATTAAGGATAATGAATCTTCATTATTGGCCATGGTCAACCTGAATAAAAAGGGGAAACAAAACGGTCTACCCCTCAGGGTCCCCATAAGGGATAAGGGCAAAGCAATTATTCAAGGGAATACCATGACAAGGGAATATCTGACTTTCATCCTTACAGCATGGTTCTCACACCTCAGGAATGGGACAGAAGGGGAGGAAGATATGGAAGAAGAAAGAAGAAAAGATCAAGCAAAATTAGGTAAGGCAAGGGCTGAGGCCCAAGGTAGAAGTGATCCCCTACATGGGGCCTCAGTCTCCGTCCCCTAAGCCTCCCCCTTAATAACAAGCATGGTATTGGGAGGGTCGCAATTCAAAGTCAATACACAGTGACAAGTTATAAAATAGTATGAAGGATTTGTTTTGGTTATACTGTATATCCTTTTTCTTGTACTAAAAACTGACCTTAGTTTTCCTATTATTCTGTAAATCTTGGCATTTCTGTATGGAGACACTTTCACATTCAAACAATTGAGCGTGAAAATGCATGTTTTCTTATTTCAACTCAAGCAACTACTAGCCAGGTGGTTCCAAGGAGGGTGGATAGTAAAAGTCTAAGAACTGACTCCCAATACATGTACTGTATGAGAGAGAGAGAGAGAGAGAGAGAGAGAAGAGAGAGAGAGAGAGAGAGAGAGAGAGAGAGAGAGAGAGAGAGAGAGAGAGAGAGAGAGAGAGAGAGAGAGAGAGAAATCTGATAAAATAATCCATTCATCTCTTTCGTCATTCAGGCAGTTTTCTTTTTCTTTCTTTCTTTCTTTTTTGGGTAAATGCACATTTGTTTACAGTATATGTTTATGAGTAGAAAAAATGGCATATTTGTCCTATATCACAAAATCAAAGTTTTATATATTATCTTGATATAATAAAGTGATTTGAATATTTTGCCGCCAGATCTAAACACGGACTGAAAATTTGCTCTATAATCATTTTAGAATTTTAACTGAACACAAAACCATAGCAGGGTTAATGCCTTGTTTTCAATTATGTAGGTACATCTGGGATGAAAGGAAGGGAATAATGGTTTTCAGAATCAACTGAGAAGTTTATATTCTTATTTACAGAATACTTTAAACAATTAGGGGGCAAAGAGTACAGAGAGAGAGAGAGAGAGAGAGAGAGAGAAAAAAAAAAAAGGCAAAAGATAATTAACATTATGAAACATTAATAAGAGTCTCAATTTCATGAAATACAGAATAATAGAGATTTTGATTCAAAGAGATATCTAAAATAGGTTCTTAAATATAAATACCAAAAACATGCCATTATCAAAAGAGAAAAAAAAAATCCAAAAGAGTGAATTTCATGTGTGACATTTCTCTTCTCTCCGATATGTTTACATGAAAATGGCGACGATAGAATAATGAGTACGACAGTTTTTACTGATTATTGTCGCACCGTCTGGCAGCAGAGTACGGACACGGTGGATTAGGATTAAACTAAATAAGGTATTAAGAGTTAAGGACACTACAGAAGACACCCTCTGTATGTACTCGTATTGAAGTCCTCTTTACCGTGGAAATGACCAATTTGAAATTGAATCAAATTTACTGTTGTTGTGAAGTATCAACCGTTGAACGAAATATAACGGAAATATTTTAATTTACTTATAAGACTATTTTCAAACATTAGTAATTCGTACTCAGCATATATACACATCACTTCATAGGCTACAACATATTACCAGGCAGTCTTAATGGAAGCATATTTCATGTGTAAAAGGATGCAAGACTTACATCTTCTTTGATATATTTCATAAAATATTTTGCCATAAGTCTATATTTATTTTCTGATATTGGTATAAAAGTGTTCTTTGAACATTTAGGAAGTGCACAGTGTCATTATCAAAGGCTGTATGCACAATTGCAACAGGCAAAAGTCCACATAGGTGTATCAGGGCGCACATTAGCAGTGTACCTTCTAATGTGTTTATCAGGTCTCACGTGTGCTGCCCAAGAACTAACCATAGCTGAGTTTTAATACTCATTTGGTAGTTTCCTCATTCATGTACCTATACAATACACTAGCTAACTCAATTTGAACCAAAAAATGTTATTCCTTCGAAACGATCCCCATAAGGTCAATTCAATTTTTTTAATTTCTTCTAGAATCATTTTGTTATAAATCAACGTGATTCCATCATATATTGTTACATGTCGTATCTAAACATTCGTTAGACATTCACAAACTGATATTCATAAGTAATGGCATTTCTAAAAACATTATGTACGTTTGGTACAAGCAAAAATAGACCTATGTGTACATAGCGTGTACGGTGGAAGTATCAATCATGTTTATGACTCTGTTACAGAAATTGGCGTAAACGTTGCACAAAATGACCAAGCTGTAATTTGGCCGGTCGTAGAGGATATTCCATTTCTATTCAAGACCTATGTGTACATAGCGTGTACGGTGGAAAATCCCGTATCACCCTATCATGTTTATGACTCTGTTACACCACGAAATAACCCGAGGATGGGCCTAATAATCAATTGGTAGTTTCCCCAAATATGTGCAATTGCCACAGTGTATATAACTCACAATTGACCTCCCCACCCACCCCACCTGGAATAGGTCCCCTTAAGTACGTTTGCTTTTGTAACTGGACATCACCACTTAACTGAGCTGGTAACATAACTCACAAGAAATTGTTTTTTTGCATTAAATAGAAGAGTTTTTGGTGTAGGTTTTGAACTCATTCCATAAAACACTGAGAGTTTGTGCCAGATTCAGGGATGTTGTACTTCACTGAAACCCCTCTAATTGACAGTCCAAAACAAAAGAAAAAGTAGAACTGAGTATTCAATAAAACACTGAAAGAAAAAAATTATTATACTGTTGGTAGTAGCTTATGCAAATATGAGGATACATAGTTTTAGTTTTGATAGTTTATGCTAAACTATGCAATGATTATCATTAACAATGACTGAATGCAGTCATTATTATATTTTCATGTCTTCATATGTTTTCAGCAACTTTTCTAAAGAGGTAAATCTCATCTGTGTAGCTTTTTCTGAAATAAATTGTGTAAGGAGTATTTAATAATTTCTATTATTTCTATGCATACAGAAAGGATAACAATATAGAATAATAAAAATAACAATGAAACAATAATGATAAAGATGATAACAATAACAATAAAAATTATATGAATAAAAGCAATGACCATGATTATAATAATAATAACAATGATACTACTAATAATAAAAATGATAATGATAATAATAATAATAATAATAATAAATTAATATAATAATCTTCCTAATATTACTAATATTAACAATAATAATAACAATAACAATAATCATCATCATTATCATTATAACAACAGTAATAATAAAATCTATAAAAATAATGAAAACAAAAACAAAAATCAAAATCAAATAAATAATAAAAAATAATGAAAATAAATAAAAATAATAATAACGATGATGATAATAATAATAATAATATCAATAGCATTAATAACAACATTAATAATATCAATATCAATAACAATAATAATAACAACATTAATAATAATAATAATTATTATTATTATTACTATCATTATTATTATTATTATTTTAATAATTATAATAACAATGATAATTAATAATAAAAATAACAATTATAATAACAATAACAGTAATAGCAATAGTAATAATAATAATAATAATAATAATAATAATAATAATAATAATAATAATAATAACAACAACAATAATAATAATAACAATAAAATGATAATAATAATGATAATGATAATAGTAATAATAATAGTAACACTATTAATATCAATAACAATAACAATATTAATATCAATAATAATAATAATAGTAGTGGTAATGATGATAATGATAATAATAACAATAATAACAATTACAGTAACAATAATAATAATAAATATGAAAATAATAATGACAATAATAGCAATAACAGCAACAACAACAATAACAAATAATAATAATTACAACAATAACACCCAACAATAACAACAATAAAAATAAATATGATAATGCTAATGATAACAATAATAATAATAATGATAACATTAATAACAAAAAATAACAACAGTAATTGACAACAATAATAATAACAACAAAAACAACAACAATAATAAAAATAACAATAATAACAATAATAATAATAATGATGAAGATGAAGATGGTGATATAAAAAATAACAAAAGCATTAACAACATTCATAAAACAGAGCAATAATAAGAACACAACCATCAACACAACAATAATAACAAGAACAACAAATATCATAATAAAAATAATCATAATAATGTTAATATTATCAATATCAAATTTAATATTAATATTGATATCAAAATGAATGGTTCTGGTTCTGGTAACAGTAATGATAATAATAATAATAACAATAATATTGAAACTATTAATAATACTAATAATTCTAATAATATTACAACTACTACTACTACTACTACTACTACTACTACTAAAAAATAATAATATTAATACTAACTGATGATGACGATGATGATGATGATGATGATAGTAATAGCAATAATAATAATAATAATAATAATAATAATAATAATAATAATAATAATAACATCAACAATAACAATAATAATACCATTACCAATAATAATAATAATAATAATGATATTATTATTATTATTATTATTATTATTAATACCAATAACAATAACAATAATAATAATAATAATAGTAATATCAATATCAATAACAATAATAATATCAATCACAATAATAGTGATAATAATATAGGAACAACAATGGTGATGGTGATGATGATGATGATGGTGATATCAATAACAATAATAATATCAATCACAATAAAAGTGATAATAATATAGGAACAATAATAATAATAATAATAATAATAATAATAATAATAATAATAATAACATTAATAGTAATAGTAGTAGCACTGACAATAATAATAATAGTAATAATAATAATAACAATCATAATAATGATACTACTACTACTACTGCTAATAACAATAATAATAATAACGATAATAACAATAACAATAATAATAATAATAACGATAATAAAAATAATAATAATAATAATAATAATAATAACAATAATGATAATAATAACAATAATAGTAATAATAATAATAATAATAATAATAATAATAATAATAAATAATAATAATAACAGATACTTTAATTTCTTTGCACAATCTTCTTTTCATTTGCTTATGTTTACCTTGAAG